ATTATTTTTAGAACTCTGAAGTGTCTCCAATATTTCCTTTAATATTGAGATGGACGCCTAATCAAATCTTCTCGCAGTAAAAATAATTATTTTAAAGCAGAAAGTGTCTAAACAATTCTAGCGATCAAAGAAAACTTCGAAATGCAATGCATATGCGTATGGTAATTCAGTCAACTTTCTCTCGCAAGGTATCGGTATCATTTCCTTCTTTGCATCCTATACGTTCCTATTTATCCCACTATCCGTTTCTGAATTCCAATCGACCGCCTTTCCACGATTTCCACGCACCAATTCAAAAGTGAACAGAGAGAACGCGACACGCTCTCGGATCAACGCTTACAAATCACCACTCATACACGGGTTTCACGCATACTTTTTGGTCATTTCCGTCTCGCGCACGGCCGCCGCAGCATTTATAGCCTCCATTCAGAAGTCAAAACGGCTGCCTGACATTAGCGCGGACGAAACTTTCCCTCTAACGAGGTCGCGGCGATTTCAACCGCGACGCGGACTTAATTTATCGATCCTCTCGGTCGGTCTCAGATAAGGTTGATTTAGCTGGCCATTGTTTTCGGCGCCGTCGACCCGGAACAGCTCCGCCCCGATTCTCTCGCGATTTTCATATGTATTAATAAGGCAATTAACGGCGGAACAATATTTAACGAGGTCCTCCTACCGGTCGAGGGAAAACCAAACTCGCCGCGGTCCGGCAAATGGGAGAAAACTAGAAGGGGTGGTCGATGGTTTGCGAAGAGAACGGATTCATTCCCCAGCCTGTGTGTACACACGGCAGCTTTGTTCTACGGGCCGGAATCCTTCGACGATAGATGATTGAAAATTTTAAGTCGGCCAGACGTACAATGTTGATTTATACCTTCTTCATTCAACAAAAGCGATAGACGTATGTATTGTATAATTCAATGACGAGAAAAGTCAGTTATGATTTTTATGAATTCAATTAGGAAAGTTCTTTAATCATGAAAGTGGTCGCATCAAGGATACGTGAACGTTAAATCAACTGCGGCCTCGTTCAGCATGTTCGCTGGCAAGGACCGCGGGTCCAGCTCGCCCTCGCCGGCATAAATCATTACGCGGTCTCGGGTACAACGTTAACCTCCGTAGCGCGCGTATAAACACCAATAAATACGAGCCTGTGTAACGTGGCTGTATTAAAGAACCTGGTCCGGTACCATCAACCACGAAACTCGAGAAGGAAAGAAGGTTCTCGTCGTCGCCGGCGATATTTATTTTCAGCCCGTGAGCCGGAGGAGTTCCTGCGACGACGTCGACGGGGACGAAGGTAAGGCCGAGGGGACTGGTTTCTCTCCTTCCTCCTCCTCCTCTTCGCATCGCCGCGAGGGACCACGCGAAACAGCCTGGCTTTTCTTCAAGAGTTGCGCTCGTCGAGGAAAAAATTATAACGAAATTGCTAATAGAACTATCTACAGCCTTTCCGTATTATCTTCAACGTATGATCTTAAAAATCAGTTGCTTCCCTTATAACTTCACTCATTTTCTTACATCACCATCACAAGACTGTGGATTTATAAAAGAATTGAATGTATTGCATAAAATTATCTGAACTATCCAGACTTCATTGCAACACTTCGATGATACAGAAATTGCATATTTGTAATGTTTTATTTTGCAAAAAATCTGCAGTCTAATCAAGATCGGCTCATAGTGAATCGGAATCGGTGGAAGTGAAAGAGCATAGGCACGATCTCGGCAACACTTGGCCAGTCGCGTTGGCGCCTCGCAAAAAGGAGCGTGGTCTAGATGCACCGCTCATCAATATGCATACAAACACGGGAACACAGCCGTGCATTAGGATAATGAATACGCCGCCGCAGGCTGTTTGTTAAAGGACGCTTTTAAATGCGCCTAAGCGACACGTAAGTATGCGTCTTTGCAACGCGCGGACGACGACAGAGGATAAGAAAGTATTTGTGCGAGCAACGTCTCCTTGGTAATAAAATTAGAAGCCTGAGGAAAAGGGAGGATTTCATTAACCCGAGGCTGGTCCTAAGTAGAATCGACCAGTCAAATTCAGAGACGAGGAATGCCATTTTTTAAATTACTTCTCTTTTGTATGGACCTGTGACGTTCATTATAAAAGTACTATTTTTCTGATAATAAAGTAAGCTGTGCATGTCTGAACGTAAGGCTGGGTCTATTATCATAAGGAATGATTAAATTTTCCACGTCAGTGGACAGTGTTGAACTTTCCAAGTAATTAGAATATTGAACTTGAAGATTCTTGTCAGAATACTTGCTCTTATACTATGGTTAATAATCGTACAGCTCCTGGCCAGCTACAATTAATTATTGACGCAAGTGAAAAAATTTTTATATTGAAATTGTGGATACTGACGTCTTCTAAGAGAAAAATCCAATGAATTTCTC